TGAGCCACAGTGCCACTTCCGGATTTTTTCTTTTTGCTTATGTGGTGCTGAGGAATCAAACCCAGGGCCTCGAGCATGCAAGGCAAGCCCTCTACCACTGAGCCACCTTCCCAGCCCCGAAACTTTGTCATCTTTGACATCACAGCCTAGCCTATATACCTCACAGAAATGACCTTTGCTCTTTTTTTCTAGAGAGGAGCTAGTAATTTGACATGGCGATCAGATGTCCTGGTGGAATATCAAGGAGAAGGCCGGAATGTCACTGACCCAACCTGTCCTTCCTTGAGTCCTGGAGTGTCCGTGAGTAGACATTGGCTTGCCAAAAACACAGCAAGGTGCTAATTAGATGCACAAAGTATTAAAACCCTTAAGGTGCTAGTCCTTAGTCACCCCATTATCAGAAGGTTCATTTTGAGTTCTTCCAAGTTATGGAACCACATACCCAAATTCTTGCCTTAATAGTTCCCTTTCCCTTCTCCCTACCTCTCCCAGTACTAGGAGCGGAATCTGATGAATAGGGGGTTCCCACCTGACGTGACTGCCACAATCTTGTGTCCAGTTTTAGTCCTTGTAGGCAACTAAGTTTTTGTTGCTATGGAAACACAATCTTCATTGAACCTTAAAATCTCCCTACAGCAATGTTTCCCAGACTGTGTATGTGAAGATGCTTACAATAATACATACGCATGTGTGAGGACAGTGTCAGCACTGTGGAATTTGCAGTACTGTGAGTTTGATGACCAGGAGGTAAGGATGGCATCTGCCTGTCTCCCCCACCCCCTTTTCCTCATCCCCAGGCTTTGTTGGTTGGACTCGGGGGCTGAAGAGCAGTTCCCAAGGGGCGCCTCATGGAAGATAGTTTCTTCCCTACACTTTCACTTTGTTTCCTTCTGTCAAGAACACAGAATTTCATAAGGCCACGCCTCAATTCTCACATCAGTGACAGGATGCTTGCTTTCGATGCCCAGTTCACTGGAACTCACAGTGCTCCCCGCCTGCACTTCCAGCTTCACCCCCCCACAGTTGGGGTGGGAGTGTACTACTTGAGCTTCCTAGGAAGCTAAGGAGCTGCTGACTGACTCAGAAACTCGTGTTCCCACCCCACACCCTCAGGTGTCGCTCTGTAGATTAGAGAGGGTGACAAAGACCCAGAGCCACAGCCTTGGGAGGTGGGTTTTGGCCTCCACTGGTCAATACTGGTTATCTGGAAGATGCTGTGGATGGGATGGCTTCCATCCCTCGGGACTGCAGGCCATTAGCAGCCTATGCTCCCTACACATCTGGCAATTCCCATCCCACCATGGGGAGCAGATGCTTTTCTGTCCCAGGCCCATTCTTCCTTTTGCCAAAAGCTCATGGAACAACAAGAGCACTTCCACTAAACTCCTCATAATGGTTATCAGCTGGATACCTTCCAGTGAGAAAGTCCTGCTAGGCAGCACTGAGCACCACCTTCTTTGCTTGTCACCTGTCTCCAATCATATTAGTCAGCATATTAATTAGAGGGTGAAGTTCTGAAACTAGATGCGTAAGAGTTAAAACATGTGTCCTCTGATTGGTGGTAAGCATCCCCAACTACTGTTTAAAATAGGAAAACAATGTGCGTCTAACACAAATTGGGGCACTTCCATAGTCGTTCTCATTTGAACTACACAACTATAAGGTAAAAGCCTTCTAATGTTAACTTTACTTCATTGGCCTTATTACAAAGTCTGGTTTCTGAGACCTTGCCATTGAAGGCCTGCCTTCTGCTCTCTGCTCTGATTACAGAAGGTAGGTAATGTTTCACCTGCTGCTGGCCCAAAGGCAAGCATGTATAGCTAGCCCTTTTCCAGCACCAGGCTGTAGACCCAAAGCAATGCAAAATGCATTGTCATCCCAAGTGCACAGTTTGGCTCTTGGAATATCTTTAGACCAGATGATGTTTTGCTGGGCCTTGGGTTTTGGCTTTTTAGTTTTTCACTTCCCTCTTTCTTCAGAAATAACTTGCCTTAGGAGTTGTTTCTTCAACTTCTGTTGTTGTTTTCTTAACTTCTTTCATTGCTGCTAGGTGTTTGTGGAAGTCTATAATCTGACTGCAGACCCAGACCAAATCACTAACATCGCTAAAAGTATAGACCCAGAGCTTTTAGGAAAGATGAACTACCGGTTGATGATGTTACAGTCCTGTTCTGGGCCAACCTGTCGCACTCCAGGGATTTTTGACCCCGGGTAAGTTTCTTTGCTGGGTTGTCTCCAGGGGTCACACAGTTCTGGAAGTCAAAGGGAGTCTGACTGGCCTGAGCGGGGCTGTGTTCGTTGTGCTTTGCTGTGTCTGCCTGTGATGCTGGGGAAATAAGCTGTTTGGCCCTCAGCTGTCTACTCACAGCGGGTGCTTTGGCCACAGACATGGTGCCGCTCCCCAGATCCTCTCCTGCTGTGGCAGCACCTGGGCTTCTTTAAGTGAACCTGGACCCAGTGCTGCCCTGTGCTAAAGCTCCCAAGACGGCATGCCTCCCAAGCCCCAAATAGAGAAACTTGAGTGGTGACCAGCAAATTTCATGTATTAAATACCCATGAAGATAGATATAAAATCAGATATTGGACTGCATAATCCTACATTTGCCAGGTGAGAATTGCTCCTCTTACCCTGGGCCCCATCTGTATCAGGACTGTCAGTGTCAGCACCCTGTGTGTCCCGATTGTTGTGGCAAGAACCATGTCATGTTTCATGCTTGAAGAGTATGAAGAGTGTCACTGGAGAAGGGTGACTTTAGTTCCACACTGTGGTGCTAAAGACAGAGGGAAGAGATACTCCAGGTTATAACTTAGTTAGCCATCTTCATGTCCAATTTTATCTTCACTGCAAACTAACGATAAATGTAGGAGAATGAGTAGAGAAATTGAATGATAGGCTACTTATTAGAGATGTTATTGTTTAATCTTAAATAGTGTATGTACAGCCAGAGACATAGATTGTAAGACATGAAAATGAGAGCTGGCAAAGTAGCTTGTTGGTAGAGGGCTTGCCTACAGTGTTCAAGGCCCAGGGTTTAATCCCCAGCACCATAGAGCAACAAAAACCTAGATGATTATGTATACACATTGTATACACATACAAATTGTACCATATAAATACCAAATACTAAATAATACTCTGCTGAAATATTCAGTAACTAGAGTGCATGTGACCATTTCCTTTCGTCATCCCCAGGTACAGGTTTGACCCCCGTCTCATGTTCAGCAACCATGGCAGCATCCGGAGGCGAAGGTTCTCAAAACACTTTCTGTAGCGACTGTGCCCAGCCTCTGCCGCTGGATCCCTGCACGCCTCTTTCTCATGAAGTGATTGCAGTGGGTGTCCATAGCTCCTTGAGACCAGGCCTGGAAGAGCTCTGGACTGGCCATTTTAAGTCCTAAAAGAGCCCACCTGATAGCTGACTTGTGTGACATGTTAAACTGTGAAGCTGCCCCTGTGTCTGCAGTGGCCGACCCTGGTCTTTTGTTCTAAGTGGACGAGCACGTCTGAGGTCTGTGTCATCACCATGTCCCTCCTGACCCGGGACCACTGTTCTGATCATTCCCACGTGGCCCAAGTCTGAACTGATAAACCTATTCAGGTAAATAGCAATACTTTAGGGCAAAAAAAAAAAAAAGAAAACCTTTTGGTATTTAGCCGCACCTAATATCACATGACCTGCATAGCATTTCAGTCTGACCACTTCACCATCAAAAATACTAACATCATGTGGCTTGAAAAATAACCACTAGAGTTGAACCATCCGATTAGAAACAGAGCCGTTGATTTCAGATAAGTAGGGGTATGTTGTTTATAAACTCAATCAGCATGGCAAATCTGTCCATTCATTCTGTTGGTTTTTGGAATTCTGGGCTGGTGCTGCACCAACAGCAGCAGACTTAATGGCAAAGGAGGATTCCAAGTAGCGCCTGGAGGTGACACCCACCTGCTTTCCAGTGGCCGCCAAGCCCATAGAATGCTTGTCAGGCCTGGAGTGCTGAGAAAATGTCTCTTTAAAGATATTCCCCCTCCAAAGTGGCTGAGATTGAGCAGTGGAGGGGGCAAAAACTGCCAAGAGTTGGGAAAAGTTATTTTCTGAGGACCTTTGGGAGATAGGTAAGGCTCTTGAGTTGATGGAGTTGGCATCTGTACCGTTAGACAGCCTGCATGACATTGCCGGCTGTAGTCATTGTCGCTACCTTCTTTTCACTATTGTTCTCTCCGTTTATATTAAGATGGAACCATTTCTGATAGTTGATGCAATTACAAACTATCCCACATCCTTCTTGCCTTTCAGATAGGTTCATCCTGTCTTGAATAATGAGGGTTCCAGTTAGTATTCCCCTGTGAAATCGGGTCCTTTGTGCTCTTTGCTGTTTAGAACATTTATGTTTCTTACCTTGAAGATCTAGTCCATCTCTAACATCTTCATAGAAAGGCTAATTACTGGTGGAAAAGAAAGAGCTATGGATTCTAACCAGTTCAACTTAAGTGATTTTAGCTTTTACTGCCTTCTGTTGAGCTTTAAGCTCTTTTTTTTTTTAAAAAAAAAGACAAGGCCATAAGCCACTTCTTGAGCTAAATAGCCAAGATGCATTCGAAGCCATTGGGTTTAATCCTTTACCTCTCAAGACCCCAGCAATTGTGGTAGTATCCAGAGGTAAATGGAAAAATGAGGTGAACATTTCTACTGTGTTTTCTTTAAGGGGGAAAAATGTTTAAAAATAATCCTGTAACTAAAAGTAAATTGTAGACTTGAATATGGCTAATTGGCTTTATTCTCCATTTTGATTCTTAACATTCTCAGTCAACTTCAACATCAATGAAAGTTGACCACTGTTATTCCCAAATAAAAAGAAACAACTCTTACCAGGTCTTGGGCTATGATGTCACCTTACTCAGTTTTGGGCTGCTGGTTCCAGAAAGCAAATGTAGTAACAAGAGTGACAGGAGCATCGGCCACACTGCTCTTACGTTCAGCAGCAGATGCGGGTGCTGGATGCGCTGAAGCCCTCTCTCTCTCTCTCTCTCAGTTCCAGTATATTTCCTGAGATTTGGGTGAAGAGACCTCAATTTATGGCCTAACAGACTGAAAAATGCACAGGTGTTTCCAGACTGTGTATGTACCAGGGACCAGCTACAGGAGTCCAACCTTGTTCTTTTAATTGTGCTGATTTGGAGTTTGTTAATTTTCTCTTGTAAGATTAGGTCCATGTCTGTTGGTGACCTTAAGACTAGAAGACCATAAAACTATTCAGAATGAAGAGATTCTTTTGCCTTACAAGATTTCCTGTTCTAAAGCTCTCCCTCACACCATTTCCGGCATAGGGACACATTTTGAGCATCTTTGAATTTGACACACGGTGCTTTTGCAGACACCTTTTAATTCACAATTCTAGGACTTTTGTACAAAATACTAAGGATAACCATGCAAGTTATACCTTAATCCATGAGAAATGTTCTTAAATTTTTAAGTGTCTAGGAATTAGTCCTTTTTTTTTTTTTAATGGAAAAAGAGAAGGTAGCCCATGATCCTTAAAGCAAAGAGTAGTTCCAGCTGACCTACCAGTGGACTGAATGGGTGTGCTTGGGTTTAGTTTTACCTCCACTCTGTCCTCAGTGAATACTGTAAGTTCCTGTTTGTATAATCTGTTTCCAGAAGTTACTCTGCCCTGGCTCTGTCATCTCAGTCACTTCACTTAGAAAGTGCCCTTCAATGGACCCTGTTCACTGCTGCACTTTTCAATGAATTAAAAATTATTTCTGTCCTAGTGGGAATGTGTCTTTTGTTTTGATCCGCAAGTAATATTTCTGACATGATGCTTTCCTTGGTGCTACTTCATGGTTCTGTTTTGTTTTCTATTGTTTTTGTGGTGCGTGGGATCTAACCCAGGACCTCATGCATACCAGATAAGCGCTGCAACACTGTTATATCTGCTGTTTAATGCTGAGTCACTCACAAGAGAAGACAGACTATTTCCTCATCACTTTCTGTAGTCGCTACCTGAGCCGCTCTTATGTACATGGTCCTTACTGATTGGAACACTCCTTACTGAATGGAGCACTATGTAAGAAAATCCTTCCTGATAAATCGTTTTTCCTTTTCAGCTCTCTGGAGAAAACTCATATTGGCCTGCTTTCAAGTAGGTAGATTAAGTTCCCCTTTGCAGGTACTTTTGCTATCTAGGCTTATGATCCATGGCCTTAAATGAAAAATGCCACCTTTCAGGAATCAGCCAACTCTCTTTCTCCCCTCCCCCCAAGTGCTGAAGACTGAACTCAGGCCTTGCACCAAGCCAGTGCTCCCCACTAGCTAAATCCCAACCCCCCAACTTTTTCTTAAAGGGATGAATAATATAGCAGGCTTTGTGGGCCATGTGGTCTTCTCCCAACTACTTAAATGCCGTTGTAGCACAAAACAGCCCCAGACAATATGTAAATAAGCAAGTGTGGCTCTATTCCAGCAAAACTACAAGAACAAGTAGCCCACAATTTGCCAACCTCAGACCTCATGGGTCATAAGTGAAGTAGAAGATTAAATGTTGCCAGGTTCCTATAGAAAAACAAGTAATTTCTCTGAGGTTTATCTTTATAGCCTAACCAGTTAGCCTGTTACAATTTAATGGGCTCCTGGTTAAAGACAAAGAACTACCCCAGCATAGCATGCAGCATGAGCAAGATCATTCTTGACTCCAAGCCCTGCAGGCATGATGCACAGTCCAACCCTGCACACACACAGAGTTTGTTATAGGAAGGGAATGCTGGGCTTGGGAGCCAATGGTTTTGCAGCAATCAGAAGACATGACCCCACCCTCAGAGTTGGTTAATGAAAACAATCCAGAGAAATGACCTGGATAGAGTGCTCTGAGCTTTGTGGTCTTGACTTACCCAGAAAGAATGTGCACAGGGGATGCTGCTGGCTAGTAGCAATGTAGCTAGATGCTGTTCCTCCATCTAGACAGGCTAGAAAACTAGAATGGGCCCAAAACAGTAGCTGTCCATGGTTAGAAGAGATTTTTATCCTGGATGGAAATCTAAAAAAGCATTTGAGGTAAGTAATGAAGGTGACATTGGCCTTTTTGACTTCAAGAAGGCCAAAACTGGAGAATGAAGGAAGAAAAGGCGAACATTAGCCAAAAAATTTAGATCAGACTTAGTTGGTTTTTTTGGGGTTAGAGGTGTGTGCCAGTATTGGGGCTTGAACTCAGGGCCTTGAACTATCACTTGGCTTGTGCCTGCTCATGGCTGGCTCTTTACCACTTGAGCCACACCCCAGTCCAGCATATTGCTGGTTAGTTGGAACCTGTGGGGACTTTTTTTTTTTTTTTGCCCAGGCTGACTTTGAAATGAATTCCTCCAAGTCTCAGCCTCCTAAGAAGCTAAATTATAGGTATGGACCACTGGTGCCTGGTGCTCAAGACTTACTTTTGAGAGCTATCCAGTCCTTTACTAGAGAAAATGAAGGTAGAGTCTCAACATTGTGGATACAGGAAATTCTGTTCTATCACAGTGTCAAACCATCAGCAAAGAAAATATTCACACTGGTAAGAGTTAAATACAGACTGCTGAGTCAGAATACCCACCTATTCCTGCTGAGATTGTACCGTCCTGTAGAACTAAGTTCTCTATACAATTCATCTGTTTGCGCCTTCTCTACCATACCACTGGATATAAAGGATGTAATGTATATAATGAAGTATATAATGAAGTCTCTTGAGCCAACAGACGAGCCCCAAAGACACAAGCTGTAAACATCTGCCAAGACCTCTCCTAGTTGCCAGGGAATCAATATGCAAGACAATATGTATAGCAGTCTATGCCTACAATCCAGGCACTGAGGAGAAAAAGGCAGGAAGACAAACTCAGATACAGAGCTCCTCACCCCCACCCTCCACAAATAAACCAATGAGATGGTCATAGACTAATTTTTTTTTTTGGCGGCAGGGGTGGAGGATTTGAACTCAGGGCCTGGGTGCTGTCTTTGAGATTTTTCACTCAATGCTAGTGCTCTACCACTTTGAGCCACTACACCACTTTCAGTTTTCTGGTGGTTAATTGGAGATGAGTCTCACAGAGGGGCTGGGAAGGTGGCTCAGTGGTAGAGCGCTTGCCTTGCATGCCTGAGACCCTGGGTTCGATTCCTCAGCACCACATAAGCAAAAAGAAAAAAAAGCTGGAAGTGGCGCTGTGGCTCAAGTGATAGAGCGCTAGCCTTGAGCTGAAGAGCTGAGGGTCAGCACCCAGGCCCAGAGTTCAGGCCCCACGATGGACCCCCCCCCCCCAAAAAAAAAGTCACAGACACTATTGCCTGGGCCGGCTTTGAAACATGATCCTCAGATCTCAGCCTCCTGAGTAGCTATGATTACTGGGGTCCACCAGCAACCAGCCTAAACTGAATCTTTAAGAGGGAGATTTTGGGCTGGGAATGTGGCTTAGTGGTAGAGTGCTTGCCTAGCATGCATGAACTTCGATTCCTCAGTACCACATAAACAGCAAAAGCCAGAAGTGGTGGCATAGCTCAAGTGGCAGTATTAGCCTTGAGCAAAAGCAGCTCAGGGACAGTTCCAGGCTCTGAGTTCAAGCCCCAGGACTGGCAAAAAAAAAAAAAGAGGGGGGGTGAGATTTTAAGACCACCCTTTGAGACCACCTGCCTTTGAGACCCAAAATCTATGTTGCTCTCATGATGATAGACCCTGAAAAGATACAGAGAGCAAAGAGAGACTTGAAACTCATTTTTCCTTAGGATTTACCCATGCCAACAAGTTTTTACCCATCAACTTACTTACCCAAGCTCACAAAGCAAATTAGAATTTCATTATCTAGCTTTAAGGTTTGTTTTTTTTTTTAAAGTTGGATTTGGTTTGGACCTAGTTAAGCACCAGTACCTCACACCTATAATCCCAGCTACTCAGGAGGTTGAGATCTAAGGATCATGATTCATTGGCATCCAGGACAGACAAATCCAGCTTCTCTCCAATTAACCAGCAAGAAGCTACAACTGGAGATGCGGCTTAAGTAGTGAGTGAAAATGCTGAGTAAGGAGGGCATGAGGCCCCAATACTGACATGCGTGTGTTCGTGCACACACACATGCGCGCGTGTGCGCACACATAATCAGGCATGCGCAGTCCCAGTCAACAATTTTAATTAATTTTTTTTTTTGGTCGGTTGTGGGGCTTGAACTCTGGGCCTGGGCGCTGTCCTTCAGCTCTTCAGCTCAAGGCTAGCACTCTACCACTTGAACCACAGCGCCACTTCAACAATTTTAATTTAATAAGAAACTCCCAAGTAAGGACCATCCAGCTGAGCTGCTCCCAAACTCCTGATCCATGGAACATACTAATAAAGCAAATGGTGTTTTAAGCTTATCTGGGGCAATGTATGACTAAAAACTAAAACGGGTTTAACAAGGGAGAAAATGAAACAGGCCTTCCTATCAAAACCCATTGAACTACAGGTACCTGGCACTGGTCACCTCCAAAAGGGAAAGCATATCCAAAGATACTCAAATATCCAAAATATATATCCAAAAAATATAAATACACACTTGGTCCCAGCCCAAGTAGAAGCTTCTTTGTGGAATGGTTGCCAAAATGTCCTCAGCACTTGTTGGAAAATATTTTAATAGGCTCCTCTGGCTGGTAGGCTCTAGTCACAAATCCAGCGGGTCTCCATAACTCCCTGAAGTTGGTGCGGGGGAAGAAAAGCAGCCTTCAGCAGCTGCAACATGCCGAGATTCTGGCTTGCTTTCTGAGCACCTGTTGTCTCCACTCCCCTCGCCTCCTCTCGGCTCTGGGAAAGCCGCTTTGATGCAGCACAAGTGATTCTGGTCCTGCCTAAGTCCCTAGGAAAGTGGCTGCTTTGTATAGTTTTCTATCCAGCCCTGTCTTCCCTATCTCCTAGGAAAAGTGAGCAGCAACCTGATTAAGCCTGAAATCAACACAATTTATGTGATGTCGTGTAATCTAGAATGAATAATTCTAAGTCATTCCTCAACGACAGCTGTCGGCCTTCAACTCACTCTTCCAGATGCTCACGGAGAATGTGGGCCACTGGGCCATGCCCAATGGTAACAAAAACCCCAGCCCCAGTCATCCAGGCCCTCTGCCTTCTTCCTGTAATGCCCTCAAAGTCCTGCTTTTAAGTTCAGCCAGAGGTGAACCTGGACTGCAGGGGCTGCAGTTAGGGTATGCCCAGAGAGCTTTGTCCTGTCTCCAAACTGTCCAAGTGGCTGTTTCCAGATCTGTCTTATGAAATATTTACTCCCATAAACCACTCCTACAACTAGGAGAAAAGCAGAAGAGAGTAGAAAATAGGGGTTGGTCTCCAAGGAGACAACCATCTGGAGAGATTTTACAATGCATGAAAACACTTGACTAGAGACCAAGGTCCAGGCCTCCAGGCCACACTTACACACAGCCATCTCTGGTCTATGTCACTAACACTGAGTTTTAGACTCATGAGCCCGCCCGGGCAACACAGTCCCAGCTGTACAGCATTCCTTGGTTCTAATTTATCAAGGAAGAAAGACATTTTGTGACTATTGTGTGCAGCCTAAGGGAAGGCCTTATGTGATTTTTTTCTGGTCTACTGATTGCTCTATAACCTTCAGTGTTCTGTTTTTAACTCCCATTTCCTTCTGCAAGCATGCATTTTTAAAACCAAATCAAGGCATTTGGCAGTGCCCACTGCCAATTTAGCAGGCACCTTGCTCTTCCACCTCAACCATGTCTAATCAAAAATTCAGCAAGTCAAAAGTGAGCATGAAAAGAAAT